TACTGTAGCCTTGTAGTATAGTTTGAAGTCCAGTAGTATGATGCCTCCTGCTGTGTTCTTTTTGCTTAGAATTGACTTGGCTATGCGGGCTCTCTTTTGGTTCCATATAAAGTTTAAGGTGGTTTTTTCCAGTTCTGTGAAGAAGGTCATCGGTAGCTTGATGGGGATAGTTGAAAAGGCTTCATACTTTGCTAAATAATTATAAACCAAGAAGGGAAAAAGGTAGAATAAATCTGATTCATGAGGTCGGCTTTTGATGTTGAAAATCAAAAACCCTCAGCCAGTTCTCAGGATTGAGCCAATTCAGAGAAGCAGAGTTTAATGACTGAAGGGAATCTTAAGGCCTCTTGATGAAGGACATTGAAAATTCACTGCAAGAATACTCAGGCTGTATCATATGTTTCTTTCTCAAAGACCTGTAGCTATTCCTCAGATAACAGTCCTCAGAGAAAAAGGCACACATCCATATCACCTGAGAGACTTTTAAGTTTGGAGCCTGAACTAACACTAATATCTGGTCCACGGAATAAAACCGTGAGTTTTTCTTTGGGTTTTTTTGTTTGGTTTTCTGAAGCAGAGTCTCACTCTATCACCCAGGTTGGAGTGCAGTGGTGTGATCTCGGCTCACTGCAACCTCCGCCTCATGGATAAGGTGGTTCTCATGCCTCAGCCTTCAAAATAGCTGGGATTATAGGTGCATGCCACCACACCCAGATATTTTTTTGCATTTTTAGTAGAGGCCGGGTTTCACCATGTTGGCCAGGCTGATCTTGAGCTCCTGACCTCAAGTGAACCGACCACCTAGGCCTCCCAAAGTGCTGAGATTGCAGGTGTAAGCCACGGCGCCCAGCTATTTTCAGGTTTTTGTTTGTTTCTTTTTAGAGACAAGATCTTGCTTGGTTACCCAGGCTGGAATGAAATGACAGGATCATAGCTTACTGTAAACTCAAATTTCTGGGCTAAAGCAATCCTCCTGCCTGAGTCTATGGGTAGCTGTAACTACAGGCACACACTACCACAAACAGCTAATTTTTTTCCCTTCATACAGACAGATACTTGCTATATTGCCTAGGCTGTTCTGAAACTCTTGGCCTCAAGCGACCTTCCCACTTTGGCCTCCTAAATTATTTGGATTACAGGATCAACAAGACTGGAGTATGAGTTTTTGAAGGTCAGATAATACATTGAGCTTTGGCTTATGTCCAACCAAAAGGGGATCTAATGGGTTTATCATAGTTACCTCTTCCTGAAAGTGTAATTGAATCGAAAGGTTCAACCACTGGCAGGACTCTCACGTTGCTTCCTGACCTGTATGCCAAGGGACATTATTGTAAGCAGGACCAAGGGGGGGCTTCTGAAACTCTACTCTCCTGGCAATAACATGAATAAAACATAATAACTGCACTCTCTAGGAAACAGAATTGGTCGCTGTCACAACAAAAAACTCAAAAGTTCCAGAGGATGGTGGTCCATTTTATATCTTTATTCAGTTAACCTAACTGGCCCCTGTCAAAACCAGATGGATTATAGGATGAATGCACATGAACATAAATTTAAGTCATACTTGTACATTTGCTCTAGGATGTGATATCTCACTGAGCAGAATGTGGTTTCCAACACTTTGTATGTGGCTTCTGATTCGGCGAGTGCTTTGTAATCTACACCCATCGTGGGGGGAAATCAAAACAATTTGCTTTGGTGTGGTAAAAACAAGAACACTACTTCACTATTTTATGTCAGGGCTATGTCACTTCCTGCTTTCAGTTTAATTGACATTTTGCAAAACATCATGCTAACTCAATATATTAATAATATTACATAAATTGGTACCCATAAGCCGGAAGTGACAAGTTCCTTAAGTAAATAGTAAAATACTGTAACATTGAACAGAAGTAAAATACTGGAAGAAGAGAGAGAAACTTCAGCAGATTCAAAGACCTATAACATAGATGAGGGTTTAGGGGTCCAATGCTTTTAGTTCTTTTGTCAAAACATCCTTTTTAAAGTAAATATCATGCTGCCCTATATATATTTCCTATCACTAAAAGGGAAACACAGTGTTTTGGGGACCTACTGGGGTTTTGGAGTCAACATATTCCACATTTGAGGATATTTCTCCCACTTACTCAAGGAGTTTGCAAAGGCTACTTGTCTTGAGTGGAGCCCAGAACAAAAAAGGAATCTACAGCAGATATAGGGTCTGACCCAAGCTGATAGTGCCAGGTGATGCAGCAGAATTCAAAGCTGTCACGGAATGCAGAGCAGACATTATAGGACTCTCTGCATGTCTCTCACAAGCCCATAGGAGACAGGAGAGCAAACTCCTGGGGAATCAGTGCATGACCATTCCTTCTCCAGCAGAGGAGTACCTTCTGTCTACAAAACAAAACAGCAAGTGCAGAAGATTAATACAAGCATAAAGCCCCCCTAAGCATAAGCGCTTCTAGGTATGGCCCTGTGCAACTGTGAAAGTCAAATGCCCACAAAGCCAGCTATGATTGGAGGTCATAATCAAATCTGAGTGGCACAAGGGGTGGGCGGTATTGTACACAAATACATGTGCTTACTCAGATTATCTTGACTGTCTTCTCTTCTCCTTGTCAGCGTCTTGTTTGATCCAGATCACCTTTCCATTTGGGACTTGAATGGATCACCACTCTGTGGGCATGAGACCTGACTCTCATAACCACCACCAAGGAACTAGAGCCTGATGGAAGGCAGAACAGCAGAGATGCTAGTTCTGCCTCAGGTACACCCCTGTCAGTGGGAAATCAAAGATGGAAGACAGCTGGGCAGATTCATTCTCCCTCCTCTCTCTCTTCCACGGACTAATGCTGACTGTAGCTCCCCCTTGCAGCCCTTCTGGAAAAGTACTAGGAGCCAAGTGCATGCATCTGATGTCCACCATGCTGTCTCTCTCACCTCATTGTGAAGTGGTCATCAGCAGAGTCATATCATCCATCCCAACACATGATTTCGCATCCACTCTTAACTTAATTTCCACATGTCCCAGCCGTTGCTGCCCTGGACTTACCTTCCAAATAAATGTCATCTTTAATATCAGACATTGTCTGTAGTTCTAACTTATAAGGCTGCGAAGTTCATGAGATGTATAATTAATATTTTTGCATGCTTCTTTCAGTTTATAATATGACAATTTAAATGTTTATTTAGAAAGGGTATTAAAATATTATATAAAAATTATATTTTAGGAAGGTAGTTGGTAACTAACTCAGCTTTTTAATGAAATGCCATTTTGTTTATAGCGTAACCAGCTAGAAATATCAGAATACAAATATATTACTCACAATTGAAAAATTATATGCAAATATACAAAAATCTTTTATATTTATATGCTCTTTAAAATGCATCACAGTAGGTACCATCTGATTGATGTTCCACCTTATCTTCCCATCACACATCTAACATGTCTTCCTCAGGGCTACATTACAGTGATATTTCTCCTACGATTGTATCATAGCCACACTTTTGCTCTGAGAAATGCTTCTTCTTAGATAATTCTGTAATCTCAAGTTGAAAACCAGAAAAGAAAAATTCATGCTACTTTAGATTTTGTGATGAAGATTTATTTTCATTGATTTACCACTCCCATATAGCTAGTTTATTCCTTTATTCACCAATTTATTTGTTCATCAAAATATTTTTGAATACCTATTCTATGTGGTGTCTGTTAGGTCCCGGGAGCCAACAGTAAGCAAGATCTGTATGATCTCTGCTTTTATGGTGCTTACATTGTACCAGGAAAGATGTATGATAAGCAAACAAATAACCAGATCAGATGTAGAGATGATTTATCCCAAGGTTTAGATAACACTGTTAAAATTTCATAACCCCAAGAATTGATACAGTCTGTAGAATTTACTTGTTTAATGATGCTATACGATTTCTTCCTATAACAGAACTTGCTGTTACTGAGTATATCAGCACACTCTCTCATTGCATTATTTGCAATAAGATTATAATAAAACAAATGTTTAAGACATTCTCTAACATTAACACATGGATTTCATAGATGCTATTTTAACATTTGCAAAAAGTTTAATTCAAATGATTTTTTATAATTTCTACACTATTTTTATATGGAGTATTTTTAAGATAGGAAAGAGTCAAGTTTTTTTGTGTGTGCGAAGTTTAAACAGAATTTCAAGTATTGAAGACAGAGGAGATAATTGGCAATTCAGTGGCTCTGAGGTGCTTTAGAAAAAAAAAAAAACCTAAAATGCTCGTTATCAGACCTCAACTTCAAAAAAATTTTTCTTTAACTCACAAACTAGAAGAAATGACTTTTCTAACTGCACATTGAGACTTATGACAACACTGAAAAGGTCATCATGTGTTTCTTTCTTCATTCCTATTATAGAAATGCCTTTTTCCTCAATGGTTCACATATTTGTATTAAATCTAATATTCCTCAGTACTGTTTATGGCAGACATATACAAAATGTGTTCTAAATATATTTGTCACCCTTCAGTATTATTCTGCCCATCTTTATCTAACAAGGTGTTGCCTTTAAACTAAACATAAAATTAGAATTCATGATGGAATAAAAACTACACCAAAGATAAAACCTCATTATTGATTTAGAATTGAGCGTCCTTAGTATTAAAAAAATTAGACGTTTAAGCACACTGTGGTACATATGTATGGTGCAAACCACAGTGGAAAAGAGCAATGATTTTCTGAGATAAGATGTCAGTTCTTGACAATTATAAAGATAATAAATTTTCAAATGAAACATGATAAAGTAAAATACATATAGCTTCATGGTTTTGAGGAATTTCCAACTATATTTTTTGGCAGCTTGTGAAAATATGATTAAGATTATGTCATTGTCAATGCCTTTTAAGTGTTTCCTATACACATACAAACACATATATAGATACATTTTTAGACTAGCTTTAGGTAAAAGACTTCTAAGTAAGCTTTCAGAAATTATTCAAACACATACACTACCAAAAATCCAGTGGAAAGTATAAAATGTTCCAGACACTATCAGTTTGTTTTCTCCTAGAAGACACACACAGTGTCCCACTTGTGAATCTAGAGAGTTGGTAGTTTCAGTTCTTTTACTCAGCACCTAACATGACATAAAATCAAAAGAAAGTTGTGTTTTAACTTCTTGCTTCTCCAAATTAGGATGAATGAGTCGAATGAAAGATATATATATCCAAAAGTCTTGCCAACCATGAAAACTGGTTCATTCTCCAACGTCTTAGGACTCCAAACTGAAATAATTAGGAATAGAAAGGAAATGACCCACAAGAAGAGGAAGGAGATCACAGTTTGCAAAGCTTTTATGTGGACCTTGGTGCTGAGATCTTGAGATCCTTTGCCATGAAGCCGCATGTTCTTGAGATGTTTACACAGAGAACAGATTAGCATCAGAAAAGATACCAGGGACAGAGCAAAGGGTATGAAGCTCCACAGGGTGGTTACAGTCATATATGAAAGGTGTGTTACATTCCTCAGTTTGATCTTCCCAGTCATGTTTCCTTCATGTTCTTCCATCCACGTACTCTCATCCATGTTTACCACAAGAAGATGACAAACCAAAAATAACAAAGACCCCAAAAGTATCACCAGAATGACACTGTTAAGTCTCCTTTTCAGGTGAAGAAAAATAAGGTTGGAGAAATTGGCAATCTTGAGCAAATACAATACACTGAGGCTAGTAGCAAGCCACATGCTGAAATGGTTAGTTACTGCCCAGGCATTATAAGAAGCAATTCTTAATTCTACACTATAAAAAGCTGGATTCAACACCGTTGAATACCAATATAATAATAAAACCCAGAGCAAACCAACTCTGGAGACTGCTAGAGCAGTGAGAATTTGGTCAGCTGAGGAGATCTTTTTTTTCTTGACCCAGTCAATGAAATTTATCAGTGCTATGAAGCCATTGGCAAAATTTCCAAGAACAAATAAAATCAATATTAGAATTGAAAAAAAAATGGGTAAAAAAGTTATCATGTCTGAACAGAAAAAAAGAAAGACAATCCAAGCCTGATATCACAGGTTGTGATTTCTTTAATACCCTGACCTTAAATTATGTGTGCACCTGATTTCTAAAAGTGCAGTAACATTCTTTTTACTTTTAAATACTGTGACCAATGTCAAATAAGAACGCACCAGCTGATGCTAATGGATGAGTTTGTTTTGGTCTTTATGGAAAACATTTTTATTTTCAAAATAGCTTAAATGAACTAATCCATTCAATGTCCATTCTGGTGATAGGCTTGAATGAAGTTGAAGTGAAACCTAAATATTCATTTGCCAGCATGCAAATAAAGACATATTCTCTTTCATTGTTTTGAAGTGTTCTCCTTGTTTAACCTATACATAATTTGTGTTCAGCAACTTCAGTTGTTAGATAGGGAAATTTTACCACCCAGTCCATAGTTCATACAGTAGATGTCTAAATTCTTTAAGATAACTTAGTCATAACTAGAATCATCACCATAATGGCTTTAATATTTTTGCTAGATTTAAACAGACAGAATCCAAACTTATAAAACAAAATTGTCTTTTTCTGGGACCCAGAAGAAGACCAATACACCTTAAAATCTGATTGCTGCTAACCAATACTTTTGTATGAATTTATTGTTACTATGCTCATAAATAAATACACACATGTTAAAATTCACTTTGAGTGGCTAGAAAAATATTAAATATTAGGAAAAGTTATAAATTGTAACTCAAACCTTTTGGAAGGCCAAAAGTTTTCATTGGAACAGGCTGAAGGTAGCCACCTCATTTACATTAGCATAAGGAAGAAATAGAAACAATAAAAGGCTTTCCCAGTTTAAGTCTGTTTAACCCACATTCCTTTTCTCTACTCTAACTGTTTACTCATGTAAATTTGGTGCTGGATAGTCCTCTAAGGGGGAAATCAAAGGGGAACTACTGGTTAATAGTGTTTACTCTAGGCCCCAAATCTAAAGGTTTTATCATTCGTAAAACCACTCTTTTTGCCACGTTAATTATCCACAAGTGTGTTAACTAGAAACCTCTGTTGTAATATTTACTATTTTGCCAGCCACCCCAAGTGAATTTTAACACACACACACACATTCACAGATAGAGAGAGAGAGAGAAAGAGAGAAAGACAGAGAGAGAGAGAGAGAGACATGCAGTCTCACACCCCTAAGGGATAGAAGGAGTTATTTTCTTATGCTGTCCAAAGTGGGATATAAGTTTCCTGGAGGACATCCGCACAAAATTAGTCCTATTTTCCACTGAGGGTTTTAGAACCCCACCAAAAAAAAAGAAGTAGCAAACATCAAATATCTCTCTCATGCTTAAGAATTTGGTAAACTTCCTCTCAAGTCTAATTAATGTTTAAGTATTTACTAATTAAATTGTTCAAAAATTTTGTACATATTCTTGACTACCACATCCTTTGACATAATAATCTTGCAGTATCCTCCCACCACAAGCAGAGCGATTATCTATACCCTGGACTCATGGCTCACTCATAAACTTTCTCTGATGAACAGAAAATTGGGAGACGTCACACAGGTATTAGGGATGGCTTCCACATTGGAGCTTCCTGCTCTTTTCCACTAACCATGAGATTATCACCTGGCTAGTACACTGTTCCCAGAATGAGAATAAAAAAACTCATGAAGTCAGTTTGCCTTTGCCTGATAGAGCCTGGATTGGCCAAACTCTAGATGCAGAACTTGGCCCATCTCAAGTCACCAGAGCCATCCACCAAACTCAGCTTAGAAAAACTGAATACAAAGATATACGAGATAAAAATATCGAATGTAGTTTTGTAGGGATTTCTTTAGTAGAAAAACCTACCTGACATAGGTACTATGCTAAAGCAAGAGTGTGGGGAAATAAGTTGACCCATGTTTTGTTAGGAATTCAAGAGCTGAAAGAAAAATAGATGGGGAGTGGCAAAGTTTTGTCATGTGAGGTAGATAAATAAAGGTAGTAGAAAACCTTTGCAAAGACCTATGTGCTGCAGGTAGCAACATCTCAAATTTCCTCATGTTGCAGAAATAAAGTTCCTACTGCAACCCTCTTAGAGTTGTATATAAATGTCTAAATGGTGACTTTTTTGTAAGGTATATAATGAGTAGAACAATTAATCATCTTTATGGAACACTTCTCCAGTTAATAATTTTTAAACTGCACACTTAGAAATGAGTGAAAACAAAAATGGTAAACACAGCAATGTATCATAAACACTCATGCAACCATGATGCAGGGCAAAACATGTCGCATTGCAAATAGGCTAGGTCTGCCTCCACCATTCTCCAAGCCCCTACACCTTTCTTCACATATCCTGAGGAAAGCAATAGCCATAAATTAGGATGATCATTTTCTTGATTTCCTTTATACATTAACAACTAGATATGCAACCTTACATGCTATAGCATGGTTTTGCCTGCTTTAAACCCTATATAGGTTTAAAGTATATAGTGCTGTATGTTCATGTTCATGGCTTCTTGGACTCAACTTTATGTTTCTAAAATTAGTCAGACGGATGCATGTTTATGTGATTCACTTCTCTTCACTTCTTTATATCATTCCATTGTATAGATGTATTATGATAATTAACTCACCCTTAGTTGATATATATTTGGGGGTTTTCTTTTTTGAACAGTTATCAATAATTCTAGTATGACCATTTTTTTTTACATATTATTTGATTCATTACCTTGGGATATATACCTAAGAAGAGAATTAGAGGTTCATCAAATATGGCTTTCAAATTCTCTTCACAAACAGAAAATTTCAAATATAAATTCACTAAATTTTCTTTTTTATACTTTATTTAGAGTCTCTATATAGCTATTTCTATATATCTTATTAATTACATATTTAACCCAATAAGACACCATCATTTTATACAGTCAAAATTTATTTAGCAATATATATATTTACCACTTCTATTATTTTTTATTCCTTCATGCATGTTCAGCTTCATATTTTTAGTAATTTTCCTTTAATCTAAAAAATATTTTTTTGAATTTCTATTTATTAAAGTCTGCCATGGTTTCAAAGCACACAGAAGACATGACTGCATTAGATTTTAGCCTCGATTTTGTCTGTTATAAATCAGATTGTCATTTAGACCTTTATTCCTTTATATGTAATCTTTTTCCTCTACCCACTTTGAAGATTTTCTATTGGTTTTTTATATCTTGTGACATATGTATCTTAATTGGTTTTAGTTATCTTGTTGGAGGTTTAATGGCTTTTAAAAATATGTGAATGCTCAAAATAGCCAAAGTTATCCTGAGCAAAAAGAACAAAACTGGAGGAATCATATTACCTGGCTTCAAATTATACTACAAAGCTATAGTAACCAAAACAGAATGGTACTGGCATAAAAAACAGACACATAGAGCAGTGAAACAAAATACAGAACCAACAAACAAATCCACACCTATAGTGAACTCATTTTTGACAAAGGTGCCAAGAACATACACTAGGGAAAGGACAGTCCATTCACAAAATGGTGCTGGGACAACAGGGTATCCACATGTAGAAAAAAGAAAATAGATGCCTATTTATCAACATATACAAAAATCAAATCAAGGAGGCCTCAATGATTCAGTGATGTTTGATGAGTGGTGGTGTTTAGTGTTGATTTCTGAGAAAGAGCATTTCGAGAAGAAGGGACACAAGTATGAAGCCCCTGAGGCAATTCTTGAACTAGCATGCGATGAGCCAGGCGTTTTAGAACAAACAGGCAGGCAAAATCAGATCACTCAAATGATTATAGGACTTTATAAGGCTTTTGGTCTTACTCTGAATGAGACAAGAAGTCACTGAAAAACCTGGAGCAGAAGAACCACATGATCAAATTTACATTTCAGCAGGTTCTCTCTGGCTGCTACCTTGAGAATAGGGATACGTGGAGAAATGGAAAAAATAATTAGAAGTTGATGGCAATTATCCTGGCAAGCTAATGCAGCAGTTTAAACAAGTGTGGCAGAAGTGATGACAAAGGATTAGATTCTTTGTTTTTGAAGACAGAGTCTATAAAATTTGCTGAGATGAGATGTGAAAGAGAGAAAATATTGACTCCATGTTTTTTGTCTAAGCATCTGAAAGTCTGAAGTGCTCATTAACAGAAGGAAAGACTGTAGAAAAAACTGATTTGGGGATGGAAAGGAAGATGAGTAATTTGCTTTGGACAAGTTAGTTCAAGTTCTTGTTAGACGTTCAAATGAAGATGTCAAGTAGGCTATTTTAGAAAGGATTCCGGAGACCAGGGTTGGGTTCTGAGCTAAAGGATTAAACGTTGGCATCATCAGCATGCAGAAAGTAAGGCCATGACCAGATGAACTTACCTAAAAAGTAAGACTAAAAAGAGAAAGAAAAACATAAATTTAGACCCTTACTTCATACCCTACACAAAAATTAACTTATAATTAATTGATCGTAGAGCAAAAACTTAAGAACTATAAATACTGAGATACTGAGACACCAACTGTACCAAATGCAAGAAACCAAAGTGGGTTAATCAACCATTATTCTGTCTTTATGTATTTCTTTACTTAGATTATTACATCTATAATGATGATCACCTGCTATCAATTTCTATATTGCCATTTTAAATGAAACCAAATTAAATACTGAGTCACTATCACTCTGAATAGGCAGAAACTTAAGTGAAAACATCATTAATCCTCTCACCTTCTCCCTAGATTTTTGGTCATGTTTTTAAATATAACTGACATTTGAAGAAAAAAGGTTTACATAACTAGATATATGTAAACAGATGTACATAAATAAATTATATATATGAACACATATGAATAATCAGCCTTATTTGTCTCTATTGAACCATTTGGATACATTATCAGTAAGGAGACTACATAAGATCACCAGAAAAACCAGCATGATTGTTTAAAGATTGAAGATGATCAGTTTTAATGCCGCTGCTCTGGCCCTGGGAACTAACAACCTGGACACCCACTCAAGAGACTTAATCTGAAAGTTGGTAAATTCAAAGATGACAGGAGGATAAATTTACAATGATGGGAAGAAACCAGCGTAAAAAAGCTGAGAATACTCAAAGTCAGAACGCCTCTCCCTCTAAAGATGATCACAGTTCCACATCGACAATGGAACAAGGCTTGATGGAGAACGAGCACATCCCAATGACAGAATCACTCTTCAAGGAATGGATAATAACAAACTTCAGTGAGTTAAAAGAACATGTTGTAGCCCAACGTAAAGAAACTAGGAACTTTGAAAAAAGGTTTGATAAAATCCTATTGAGAAGAGACAACTTAGAGAGGAGTATGAGTGAATTAATGGAACTGAAGAATACAATACAGGAACTCCGAGAAGTATGCACAGGTTTAAACACTCGAATTGTTCATGCAGAAGAAGGGATATCAGAGGTCAAAGTCCAACTTAATGAAATAAAACGTGAAGAAAAGGTTAGAGAAAAAAGGATAAAAAGGAATGAGCAAAGTCTCCAAGAAATGTGGGACTATGTGAAAAGACCAAATTTACGCTTGATAGGTGTACCTGAATGCGACAGAGAGAATGAATCCAAGCTGGAAAATACCCTTCAGGATATTAGTCAGGAAAATTTTCCTAAACTAGCAAAGCAGGTCAACATTCAACCCCAGGTAATACAGAGAACACCACAAAGATATTCCTCAAGAAGAGCCACCGCAAGGCACATAATCGTTAGATTCACCAGGGTTGAAATGAAGGAGAGGATACTAAGGGCAGCCAGAGGGAAAGGTCAGGTTACCCACAAAGGCAAGCCTATCAGACTTACAGCAGATGTCTCAGCAGAAACTCTACAAGCCAGAAGAGAGTGGGGGCCAATATTCAACATCCTCAAAGAACAGAACCTTCAGCCCAGAATTTCATATCCAGCCAAACTAAGCTTCACAACTGAAGGAAAAATAAAATCTTTTATGAACAAGCAAGAACTCAGAGATTTTATTACCACCAGGCCTGCTTTACAAGAGCTTCTGAAAGAAGCATTACACACAGAAAGAAACAACCAGTAGTAGCCTTTCTAAAAATATACCAAAAAGTAAAGAGCACCAACATAAAGAAGAATTTACACCAACAAATGGATAAGCCAGTTAACATCAAATGGCAGTAACCCTAAATTTAAATCGACTAAATCCCCCAATCAAAAGACACAGCCAAAACCCAATGGCATGTTACATCCAGACCTGTTTCACATGCAAGGATACACAAAGACTCAAAACAAAGGGATGGAGAAAGATTTACCAACCAAATGGAGAGCAAAAATAAATAATAAATAAATAAAAAACAGGAGTTGCAAATCTCGTATCAGATAAAATAGATTTTAAAGCAACAAAGATATAGTGGTAAAAGGATCAATGCAACAACAAGAGCTAACGATCCTAACACCCAGATACATAGAGACTTAGACTCAATGAGACAGAAAATTAATAAGGATATCAAGGACTCGAACTCAGATCTGAAACAAGTAAACTTAATAAATATTTATAGAGCTCTCCACTTTAAATACACAAAATATACATTCTTGTCAATACCACATCATACCTACTCATAAGTTTAAATGAAACATTGATTGGCCATTATTAATACCCAATATTTTTCAGAATAAAGCAATATTTCCGTTTACTCTCCCTCTTTCTCTTCCTCTTTCTTCCTTTCCTTTACTTATTTTTTTTTTCTTTTCTTCTCTCAAAAAAAAGAAATCAACTTGTAAACCTCTAGATCCAGGTCGGCAATGTCTCTCTCATTGCTTGATTTCCTTCCTTCCCTTCCCTCCGTCCCCTCTTCTTCCCTTCCTTCCTTCCTTCATCTCTTCCTTCCTCCCTACCGTCCTCCTTCCCTGCCTTCCTCCCTAAAAAAAAAAAATAAAAATAAAGATTGAAGATTTGAGACCTTGGACAGTGTGATATTTTCAGTTTAGAGATAAGAGGAAGAACTAACAAAGGAGACTAAGAAGTGGTGCCCAGTGGACAAGGATAAAATCAGGAGAGGGCAGCATTCCAGAATGCAAATGAACCATGGTCAGTGCTGCTGATAGAGCATGCAACATGAAGACTAACCACTGGCAACACACACTCACCAGTGATCTTACGAATGTCAGGTTTAATGAAATGGTGACAACAGCCTTATTGAAATGGTTTGATAGGCCAATAGTTGAAGAGGCTTCATACTTTGCTAAATAATTATAAACCAAGAGAGGAAAAGAGTTGAAAAAAGCAGATTCCTGAGGTCAGCTTTTGTTGTTGAAAATTTAAAACCCTCAGTCAATTCTAAGGACTGAGCCAATTCAGAAAAGCAGAGTTCAATGATTGAAGGGAATCTTAAGACTTCTTAATGAAAGAAATTGGAAATTCACTGCAAGAATTCTGAGGCTGTATCATATGTTGCCTTCTGAAAGACCTGTAGCTATTCCCCAGATAACAGTCCTCAGAGAAAAAGACACACATCCATATTATTTGAGACTTTTAAGTTTGGAGCCTGAAATAGTATTAATATCCGGGTACCCAAAAAGACACAGTGGTTCATGGGATAAAGTGGGAAGTTTTTGCTTTATGCTTAGGTTGTTTTTGTTTTTTGTTTGTTTGTTTGTTTGTTTGAGTCAGAGTCTCACTCTGTTACCCAGGCTGGAGTAGTTCAGTCATGTGATCTCCGCTCACTGCAACTTCCGCCTCCCGGGTACAGTGATTCTCATGCCTCAGCCTCCCGAGTAGCTGAAATTACAGATGCATGCCACCACACCTGGCTAATCTTTGTATTTTTAATAGAGGCAGGTTTTACCATGCTGGCCAGGCTGATTTCAAAGTGATCCGACCTCAAGTGATCCGACCACCTTGGCCTCCCCAAGTTCTGGGATTACAGGCATGAGCCAGCACACAGCCCTTTTTGGGGTTTTGTTTGTTTCTTTTTAGAGATAAGATCTTGCTTAATTGCCCAGGCTGAAGTGCAATGACACGGTCATGGCTCACTGCAAACTTGAATTTCTGGGCTAAAGCAATCGTGCCTGAGCCTTCTGGGTAGCTGTAACTACAGGCACACACTACCACAAGCAGCTAATTTGAGCCACCTCAACAGAACTGGAGTATGAGTTTTTGAAGGTCAGATGATACACAGAGCTTTGGCTCATGTCCAATCCAAAGGGGGATCTAATGGGTTTATCGTTACCTCTTCCTGAAAGTGTAATCGAAATCAAAAGGTTCAACCACTGGCAGGACTCTCACGTTGCTTCCTGACCTGTATGCCAAGGGACATTATTGTAAGCAGGACCAAGAGGAGGCTTCTGAAACTCTACTCTCCTGGCAATAACACGAATAAAACATAATAACTGCACTCTCTAGGAAACAGAATTGGTCACTGTCACAACAAAAAACTCAAAAGTTCCAGGCGGTGGTGGTCCATTTTATATCTTTATTCAGTTAACCTAACTGGCCCCTGTCAAAACCAGATGAATTATAGGATGAATGCACATTAGCATAAACCTTAAGTCACTCTTGCACATTTGCTCTTGAATGTGATATCTCACTGAGCAGAATGTGGTTTCTAGCACTTTGTATGTGGCTTTTGATTTGGCTAGTGCTTTTTAACCTACACTCATTGTGGGGGGAAATCAAAACAATTTGCTTTGGTGTGGTAAAAACAACACTACTTCACTGTTTTATGTCAGGGCTATGTCATTTCTACTCTCAGTTTAACTGGCATTTTGCAAAACATCATGTTAATTCAATATATTAATAATATTACATAAATTGGTACCCATAAGCAGGAAGTGGCAAGTTCCTTAAGTATACAGTAAAATACTGTAACATTGAACAGAAGTAAAATACTGGAAGAAGAGAGAGAAACCTCAGCAGATTCAAAGACCTATTGCATAGATGAGGTTTTTAGGGGTCAAATGCTTCTGGTCCTTTTGTCAAACATCCTTAAAGAAAATAGCATGTTGCCCTATATACATTTCCTATCACTAAAAGGGAAACACAGTATTTGGGGGGCCTACTGGGGTTTCGGAGTCAACATATTCCACATTTGAGGACGTTTCTCTGACTCACTTAAGGAGTTTGCAAAGGCTACTTGTCTCAAGTGGAACCCAGAACAAAAAAGGGGTCTACAGCAGGTGTAGGGTCTGACCCAAGCTTCTCATTCATTGTGCCAGATGATGCAGCAGAATTCAAAGCTGCTACAGGCATGCATAGCAGGCAGCACAGGAATCTGTGCATGTCTCTCACAAGCCCATCCTTCTGCCTGAAAAACAAAACAGCAAGTGCAGAAGACTAATACAAACATAAAGCCCCTCTAGGCATAAGCACTTCTAAGCACAAGACCCTGTGCATCTGTGAAAGTCAAATGCCCACAAAGCCAGCCATGATTCGAGGGCATAAGCAAATCTGAGTGGCTCAAAGGGTGGGCAGTATTGCACACAAACATGTGCTTCCTTAGATTATTTTAACTGTATTTTCTCTTGGTCAGCACCTTGCCTGATGCACGTCATCCTTCCATTTTGGACTTGAATGAACCAAACTGTGGGCACGAGCTCTGACTTTCATAACCACCACCGAGGGACTGGATGATGCAAAGCAAAACAGCAGAGATGGTAGTTCTGCCTCAGGTAAACCCTGGCCATTGGGAAATCAACGACAGAAGACTGCTGAGCAGATACATTCTCCCTCCCCTCTCTCTTCCATGGACTAATGCTGGCTCTGTTTCCCCTTGTAGCCCTTCTGGAAAAGTACTGGAAGCAAAGTGCATGCATCTGATGAACACCATATTGTCTCTCTCACCTCACTGTGAAGTGGTCATCAGCAGGGTCATATCACGCATCACAACACATGGTTTCACATCCGCTCTTGCCTCAATTTCCACATTTCCCAGCCATTGCTACCCTGGGCTTATCTTCCAAATAAGTGTCATCACTTCAATATTAGACATTGGCTCTAGTTTCTAGACTCCTAAGGCTATGATGTTCATCAGTTTTATAATTATTTATGCATTTTTCTGTGGGTTTATAATACGGTAATTTAGATATGCATTTAGAAAGGGCATTAAAATATTGTATAAAAATCACATTTTAATGAAGTAGTTGGTAACTAACTCAGTTTTTTAATGAAATGCCGTTTTGTTTATATAATAACCAACTAGAAATATCACAATAGAATATATTACAATTTAAAAATTATATGCAAATATACAAAAATCTTTTATATTTATATGCTTTTTAAAATGTATCAAAGTAGGTACCATCTGATTGATGTTCCATCTTATCTTCCCATCACACATCTAATATGGCTTCCTCAGGGCTATATTACAGTGGTATTTCCCTTACGATCATAGAATGGCCACACTTTTACTCTGAGAAATGCTGCTTCTTAGATAATGCTGTAATCTTAGGTTGAAACCAGAAAAGAAAAAGTTATGCTACTTTAGATTTTTGTGATGACGTTTCATTTTCATTGGTTTACCACCCCCATATAGTTCATTGACTCCTATTCACCAATTTATTTGTTTATCAAAATATTTTTGAATACCTATTCTATGTGGTGTCTTTTAGGTCCCGGGAGCCAACAGTAAGCAAGACCTGTAGGATCTCCACTTTTATGGTGCTTACATTGTACCAGGAAAGATATACAATAAACAATGAAATAACTAAGTCAGATGTAGAGATGATTTATCCCAAGGTTTAGATAACATTGTAAAAATTTCACAACCCCAAGAATTTGTAATACAGTCCGTAGAATTTACTTGTTTAATGATTGTATACATTTTCTTCCTATAATAGAACTTGCTGTTACTGTTGTCAACACAATTTCTGTCATTAGATATTTACAACTGGATTATAATAAAACATGTATTTAAGATGTTTTCTATCATTAATATATAGATTTCATAGATGCCATTTAAACATTTGCAAAGAAATTAAATCAAATAATTTTTATAATGTCTACACTATTTTTACATAGAGTATTTTTTTAAGGTAGGAAAGATTCAAGTTCTTTTACGTGAAGTTTAAAAATAATTTCAAGAATGGAAGACAGAGGAGATAATTGGCAATTCAGGGGCTCTGAGATGGTTTAGAAAAGAAAACCCTGAAATATTTGACATCAGATCTCAACTTCAAAAAAGGTTTTAACTCAGAAACATTAAGAAATACTTTTCTAACTCTGTGTTGAGACTTATGACAGCACTGAAGAGGTCATCGTGTTTCTTCCTTCATCCCTGTTATAGAAATGACTTTTTTCTCAACTGTTCACATACTTGTATTAAATTTAATAATCCTTAGTATTGTTTATGGTAAACATATACAAAATGTGTTCTAAATGTATTTGTCACTCTTCAGTATTATTCTGTCCGTCTTCTTTTAATAATAATTGTTGGCTTAAACTAAACATAAAATTAGACTTCATGATGGAATAAAAACTACCCCAAAGATAAAACCTCATTATTGATTTAGAATTGAGTGTCCTTATTATCAAAAAGATTACATGTTTAAGCACACTGAGGTACATATGTGTGGTACAAATTATAGTAGAAAAGAGCAATGGTTTTCTGAGATAAGGTATCACTTCTTAACAATTATGAAGATAATATTTTTTTAAGTAAAACATGATATGAAATGTATATGTGAAATACACATGGCTTCACAGTTTTGAGAAATTTTTTACTATATTTTTCATATTTTGGCAGCTTGTGAAGATATGATCAAGATTATGTTATTGCCAATGTCTTTTAAGTGTTTCATATACCCATACACACACATATATAGATGCTTTATCTAGACTAACTTTACGTAAAAGACTTTTCTAGGTATGCTTTCAGAAATTACTCAAACACATTCACTACAGAAAACCCAGTGGAAAGTATAAAATGTTCCAGACACTATCAGTTTGTTTTCTCCCAAAAGACACACACGATGTCCTACTTGTGAATCCATAGAGTTTAGAGTTTTAGGTCTTTCACTCAGCATCTAATCTGACATAAAATGAAAAGAAAGATGTCTTTTAGCTTCTTGCTTCTCCAAATTAGGATGAATGAGTGAAATGAAAGATACATGTTTCCAACAACGTGGGAAACCATGACAATTGGTGCATTGTCCAGCCTCTTAGGAATCCAAAATGAAATGATTAGGAATAGAAAGAAAATGGCCCACAACAAGAGGAAGGAGATCACAGTTTGCAAAGCCTTTATGTGGACCTTGATGCTGGGATCTTGAGATCCTTTGCCATGGAGCCGCATCTTCTTGAGATGTTTACACAGAGAACAGATTAGCATCAGAAAAGATACCAGGGACAGAGCAAAGGGTATGAAGCTCCACAGGGTGGTTACAGTCATATATGAAAGATGTATTACATTCCTCAGTTTGATCTTCCCAGTCATGTTTCCTTCATGTTCTTCTGTCCACATACTCTCATCCATGTTTACCAAAAGAAGATGACAAACCAAAAATAACAAAGGCCCCAAAAGTATCACCAGAATGACACTGTTAAGTTTCCTTTTCAGATGAAGAAAAATAAGATTGGAGAAACTGGCAATCTTGAGCAAATAAAATATGCTGAGGCTAGTAGCAAGCCACATGCTGAAATGGTTGGTTACTGCCCAGGCATTAAAAGAAGCAATTCTTAATTCCACAGTATAAAACTCTGGAATGAACACTTTAAAATACCAGTTTAGTGATAAAACCCAGAGCAAACCAACTCTAGAGACCGCCAGAGCAGTGAGAATTTGGTCAGCTAAGGAAATCTTTTTTTTCTTGACCCAGTCAACCAAATTTACCAGTGCTATAAAGCCATTGGCAAAATTTCCAAGAATGAATAAAATCAATATTAAAATTGAAGTAAGTATGGGTAGAAAAATTATCATGTCTCAACCAATAAAAAGAAAAAATGTAAGTTTAATATCACTGGTTGTGATTTCTTTAATACCCTGACCTTAAATTTTGTGTGCACCTTTAAAAGAATGTGCAGTAACATTCTTTTTACTTTTAAATACTGTGACCAGTGTCAAATAAGAAAGCACCAGCTGATGCTAATGGATGAGTTTGATGTCATCTTTATGGAAAGCATTCTTATTTTCAAAACAGCTCAAATTAACTCATCCATTCAATGTCCATTCTGGTAATAGGCTTGAATTACTCATAATGAAGTTGAAGTGAAACCTAAATGTTCATTTGCCAGCATGCAAATAAAGACGTATTCTCTTTCAATGTTTTGCAGTGTTTTCCTTGTTTAACCTATACATAATTTGTGTTCAGCAACTTCAGTTGTCAGATAGGGAAATTTTACCACACAGTCCATAGTTCATACAGTAAATGTCTTAATTTCTTTAAGATAACTTAGTCATAACTAGGATCATCATCATAATGGCTTTAATATTTATGCTAGATTTAAACAGACAGAATCCAAACTTACAAGTCAAAATCATCCTAGGTTTTTTGGGACCCACAAGAAAACCAATATACTTTAAAATCTGATTGCTGCTAACCAATATTTTTGTATGAATTTGTTGTTACCATGCTCATAAATACATACACCCACACCAAGCACACACATAGAGAGAGGGAGAGAGAGAAACACACACCCACTCTCACACCGCTAAGGGATAGGAGGAATTATTTTCTTATACTTTCCAAAATGTTAAATAAGTTTCCTGGAGGTCATCCACATGAAACTAGTCCTATTTTCCTACTGAGGGTTTTCAGACCCTAAGAAAAAGTATCAAACATCAAACATACCTCTCATGGTTAAGCATTTGGTAAACTTACCCTCAGGTCTACTCACTGTTTAAATATTTATTATTTAATTAAAATATTCAACAATTTTGTAAATATTCCTGGGTACCTCCATGGAAAACAGCAATGACTTTCTGAGATGTCAGTTCTTAACGATTATAAATAAAGATAATAAATTTTTGAGTGAAATATGATAGTGTGAAATACATATGGCTTCATGGTTTTGATAAATTTTCCTACTATATTTTCCATAACTTGGCTATTTTTCTTTTGCCCCCAAATTCCTAACAAAATATAGGTGAACATATTTCCCCACACTCCTGCTTTAGCATAGTACTTATGTCAGTTAGGATTTTCTACTAAAGAAATCCCTACAAAATTATGTTAGATATTTTTTATCTCATGTATCTTTGGATGCAGTTTTTCTAAACTGAATTTGTTGGATGGCTCTGGTGACTTGAGATGGGCCGAGTTCTGCATCTTCGAGCTAGTTAGAGTTTGGCCGATTTAGGCTGGATCAGGCAGAGGCAAACTGACTTCATTAGTTTTCATTCTCATTCTAGGGACAGTGTACTAGCCAGGTGATAATCTCATGGTCAATGGAAAAGAGCAGGAAACCCCAATGTAGAAAGAATCTCAAATCTCTGCGTGAAGCCTACCAATTTTCTGTTCATCAAAGAAAGTTATGTGAGGGAGCTCTGAGTCCAGGGGATAGGTAATCATCTGGCTTGCGTTGGGAAGATACTGCAAGATTATATGCCATACATAGGCATAGTCCTATATGTTCCTGTTCATGGCTCCTTGGACTCAACTTTATGTTTCTGAAATTTGGTTACATAGTTGTACATTTATGTGATTCATTTCTTTTCACTTATCTATATTATTCCATTGTATAAATGTATTGTAGGCGGAGTGCAATCCCAGCACTTTGGGAGTCCAAGGCAGTAGATCACCTGAGGTCAGGAGTTCAAGACCAGCCTGGACAACTTGGTGAAACTCTGTCTCTACAAAAAAAAAAAAAAAATTAGTGGGTTATGGTGGCAGGCACCTATAATCTCAGCTACTTGGGAGGCTATATAGCAGGAGAATTTCTTGAACTTGGGATGCAGAGGTTGCAACGAGCTGAGATTGTGCCACTGCACTCCAACCACGGTGAAAGAGTAGAACTCCTTCTCAAAAAAAAATAACAATGTGTTATAATGATTCATTCATCCTCAGTTGATATATATGTGGGAGTTTTCCTTTTCGAACAGTTATGAATAATTCTAGCATGACCATTCTTTCACATATCATTTGGTTCATATCTTTTGGATATATAACTAGGAAGAGAATTACAGGGGCATTAAATATGTCTTTAAAATTCTCCTCAGAGACAGAAAAATCCACATATAAATTAACTAAATTTTCTTTTTTATACCTTTACTTACAGTCTATATATATAGCTATTTATATATATCTTATTAATTACATACTTAAACCAATAAGACATCATTATTTTATAGTCAAAATTTATTTAGAATTATGTACATGTTTACCATTTCCATTATTTTTTATTCCTTCATGCATGTTCAGCTTTATATTTTTAGTGATTTTCCTTTTATCTAAAAAATATTCTTTTGAAATTCTGTTTATTAAAGCTCACTATGGTTTGAAACACACTGAAGAGATTATTCCATTTAATTCAAGCTTCAATTTTGTCTGCTGAAAATTATATTGTCATTTAAACATGTTCCTTCATACATAATCTTTTTCCTCTACCTATTTTGAATATTTTCTATTGGTCTTTGATATCCTGTGCCATTTCTATCTTAATTGTTTTAGTAATTTTGTTTGAGGTTTAATGGCTTCTAAAAATATATGGATGGCTCAGAATAGCCAAGATTATTCTGAGCAAAAAGAACAAAACTGGAGGAATCACATTACCTGACCTCAAATTACACTACAGAGCTATAGTAACCAAACAGCATGATACTGACAAATAAACAGACATATACAACAGTGAAATGTAATAGAGAACCCAGATACAAATCCACACTTATAGTAAACTCAGTTTTGGCAAAGGTGCCAAGAACATACACCGGGGAAAGGACAATGTCTTCACTAAATGGTGCTGGGAAAACTGAATATCCATATGGAAAAAAATGCTATTTTTTCCCAGGACCACTTAGTGAAGACATTGTCTTTTTCCCAGTGTATGACTAGATGCTTATTTATGACCATATACAAAATCAAAAAAAGGAGGCCTCAATGATTCAGTGGTGTTTGAGGGGTGGTAGTGTTTACAGTTGATTTCTGAGAAAGAGAATTACGAGAAGAAGGGACATGAGTATGAAGTTCCCGAGGCAATGCTTGTCATATACAAGAAATTCTACAAAGGTCAGTGTTGCTAGTATAGGATGAGCCAGGTATTTTAGAACAGACAGGGAAATAAAATCAGATCATTAAAATAATTCTATGACTTTGTAAGGATTTTGGCCTTACTCTGAAGGAGATGAGAAGCCACTGAAATATCTGGAGCAGAAAAACCTCATGATCCAATTTGCATTCAGCAGGCTCTGTCTGGCTGCTATCTTGAGAATACATTGGGAGAATTGCAAAACTAGAAAAAATAATTAGGAGTTGATGGCAATTATCCTGGCAAGATAATGCAGAAGTTTACACAAGTGTGGCAGAAGTGATGACAAGGGATTAGATTCTTTGTTTTTGAAGACAGAGTCTATAAAATTTGCTGAGATGAGATGTGAAAGAGAGAAAATATTGACTCCATGCTTTTTGTCTAAGCATCTGAAAGTATAAAGTGTTCATTAACAGAAGGAAAGACTGTAGGAAAAACATATTTGGGGATGGAAAAGAAAATGAGTAATTTGGTTTGGACAAGTTAGTTCAAGTTCTTGTTAGACGTTCAAATGAAGATGTCAAGTAGGCTGCTTTAGAAAGGATTCTGGAGAGCAGGGTTGGGTTCTGAACTAAAGGATTAAACGTTGGCATCATCAGCATGCAGAAAGTAAGGCTGTGACCAGATGAACCTACCTAAAAAGTAAGACTAAAATGAGAAAGGAAAACATAAATTTAGACCCCTATTTCATAACATACACAAAAATTAACTAATAATTAATTCATCATAGAGCAAAACTTAAGAACAGTGATTACAGAGATGCTGACACACTAACTGTACCAAATGCAAGAAACCAAAATGGGTTAATCAACCATATCCATATATTTCTTACTTAGATCATTATGTCTATAATGATAATCCCCTGCCTATTGATCTATCAATTTCTACATTGCTATTTTAAATAAAACTAAATTAGATACTGAGTCACTATCACTCTGAATAGACAGAAAGTCAAGTGAATTGATCCTCCCACCTTCTCTCTAGATTTTTGGTCATGTTATTTTTAAATATAACTAACATTAGAAGAAAAAAGGTTTACATAATTAGATACATATAAACAGATGTACATAAATAATAATATATATGAACACATATGAATAATCAGCCTTATTTCTCTCTGTTGAACTATTTGGCTACATTATCAGTAAGGGAACTTCATGAAATCACCAAAAAAAGCACGACTGATTAAAGATTGAAAAATTGAGATCTTGGACAGTGTTTTATTTTCAGTTTAGAGACAAGCAGAAGAACTGAAAAAGGAGACTGCAAGTGGTGCCCAGTGAACAAGGATAAAACTAGGAGAGAGCAGCATCCTGAAATGCAAATGAACTATGTTCAATGCTCCTGATAGAGCATGCAACATGAAGACTAACCACTGGCAACACACACTCACTGGTGCTCCATCTTACAAATGTCAGATTCAATTAAGTGGTGACAACACCCTTGCAGCCCTTCTGGAAAGTACTGGGAGCCAAGTGCACACATCTGATGACCGCCATGCTGTTTCTCTCACATCACTGTGAAGTCGTCATCAGCAGAGTCATATCACACATCACAACACATAGTTTCACATCTGCTCTTGCCTCAATTTCCACATGTCCTGGGCCATTGTTGCCCTGGACTTACCTTCCAAATAAATGTCATCACTTAGATATCAGACATTGGCTCTAGTTCTAGACTCCTAAAACTATGATGTTCATCAGTTGTATAAAAATTATTTATCCATTTTTTCTGTTT